TATAATCACCTCCTTCGCAAGGGTAAATCCACAATAAGGAAGGAAACCAAGCAACTGAATCCCAAATCTATTATGTGTTCAGTGCTACCATACATCAAATTTGCCTACAGGCTTTTGGAGACAATTTCAATTGAGATCTCCACAGACATTTTTGTGCATGAAAACTGAAGAGGAGAGCACTGATAACTCCAACTTGGGTGGGAGAAAAGACAATAGCAACTGGCTAGGCAAATCCACTCTGGCCCATGGGACATCAGAGAAGGCTTACAGACATGTGAAAGTTCTCCGATCAGGCCCAGGCTGTATATAGTCCCTTGAGCAACAGAAGAGCAGAGGCCTAGCCACAATGTGGATAGAAATGATGGTCCTATCTATAGACTGGGCCTAGGATTCATAAGCTACCTTTTTACATTTTAAATCAGGCCAGCCTCACTTTAAATACAAAAACCACCAGTTTCTTTAATAATGTTATTATTTCTGTGCATTGACATGTAAAATTACTACTATTTTAAGACTACGCTGTAAATCACTATTAGAATGGAGGGCTTTTGGTTCATTTTGACCCTTTTGCAAATAATTGGATTATCTTGTCTGATTAGATACAATTCTGGATATGACAGTATTAATAACACAATACATAATGGTCGTAGGACTAGTGGCTGGGGATGGCGATGTTCCTTTAGTAGCCACGGTCGTAGAAGGTGTAGTACTTGCTGAAGTTGAACCTGAGATTAAATATAAAAGACACAGGAATATCAATAAAACAGAATGGGATTAGATTGAAATACTAGATTTGGCTTTATCATAATTTTCCACCTATAAAACACTTCTGTGCATATATTTTCTCCATTTTTATATTTTATTATCTTTCTTTCCTTTAAAAATTTAGGTGGCTGGGTCCTTTTGGCCCCACCGCTTTTCCAACATTAGCTGGCTGTCATTGGTAATCTGCTAACAGAGCCCCTGTGTTGACAGACAACATGGCTACACAACCCACCCTAGCCTGGCCAGCGTCTCACAGTTTGGAAGAAGTACAGTACAGTATATGGTGGCATTTGTTCTACTATTCTGCACCCATTACACATCCCAGTGAAGTGGCTATCTCCTCTCATGTTGGATGCTTCATAATTAATAAATTAATATTTAAGCATCTTAAGTTTAGTAAACTCTAAGGTGACTGGACACTGGCAAACAAAGCTGTATGGACACTCCTATATCACCCCTCCTACTCCCAGCAAGCCTCAGATTTGTAGCAAGCAATATGTAGTGAATCATAGGAAAGCAGAGGGCAAGCACCTATGTTGTGTAGAGTACTTCAAGAAAAGGATTTTACAGATAAGACAACCCTCCTATATTCTTAATCGTACACTACAGGATACAAGATCAGGGGACATTCAAATGGGGAGTGGGCATCACAGCAAACAAAGACTAACAGGCCCACAAAACAAACGGGTCAAGAGAAGAGTTTAATAGAACTCATAAATCAGCCTGAAGCACTTTATGATTGAAACTTGTACCAGATCAGGCTTAAACTTAAATGTGTGCCCAGAAGACCAAATGGCAGCCATGTAAATCTTGGGGGAAAAAAGCCTGATAATGGAAGCCAATGAAGCAATAACAGATCTGGTTGAGTGCACCTTAACAGGGGAGGGTGGAACCTTATTTGTTTTAGAGAATAGGCTGAAATGATGACTTGTCTAATACACAGCAATGGTGGGATGACCCTCATAGATGACAAATATGCTGCACAGCTTACACTACATGAAAATAGTGGAGATAAATTCTTATCCCTATGCAACACAGAAGATAAGCCATTCACTCAAAGACGCACCTCTTAGATGTGATAGCAATGAGGAGGCAACCTTGTGAGTGTGGGTAGACCAATAGGTTCAAAAGATTGTTTCTAGGGAACCGGCAGAACTGGGCTGAAATCCTACGGAATCACTGGGGAACAACGCGAGAGACACCCCGTACAAAGGCTTTCACGAATGGAGTGAGAAGCAAGTGATCTTTGCAAAAAAGAATAGCAAGGGCCAAAATCTTTCCCTTGATGGTACTCAAGGCCAAATGCTGATCCAGACTGGTTTGGAGAAAAGACAGTTTTCGTCCCAAGGAGGACTTAAAGGGATAAAACATCCTAGCATTCGTCCCAAGGAGGACTTAAAGGGATAAAACTTCCTAGCATCACCATGCAAAGTAAGCCTTCCAGGTGCAATGGTAGACTTTACAGGAAGAGTTTGACTAGATGAGCAGCGCTAAGATATAATTAGTACCAAGCGAACCTATACCAATAAATTTATATATCAGTGAGGGGTGAAAAGAATAAATTAAGTGACTTCAAACTACTAAAACTACTTAAATAGTGTTGATTGAAAGCTGCTGTAATATAGACCCGTAGGGTCTAATAGATGAATATTGACTAAATATACAGCGCTAAAATGTTCAATTTGTAAATAATACTTAGACTTTACAGGAAGTCTACTTTCTAGTCTTTAAAGCGTATTTTCACTTTAGATTTCACCTTTTAGATGTTTTTCTTTGGCGACAGCCTTTGCTCAGATTTAAAACTACTCCGAGAAGTATGAAAGTAAAAGTAGAGGGACAAACTGAGGGGAACAGCCTGAGCTTCCTCTCAATAACATACAATGCTTCTAAATCTTTAACCCTTTGTTAGGACAGACAGTATTCAAATCTAATTTACTTCAATGAAATCTGCCAGCACACTACAGACAGGGTTCATTAGAGTAGACAAATTTCCACAGTCCCCTTCTTAACATTACATAGGGGAAATGCTAGGTAGGATTTTTCAGCAAGTAAAAAGCACCTAAAGATTTAAGAAGCAATTTTTAAATATGTATTTTGTTATGCAGGACAGTGGACCAGCCCCTGGGAGAGAAGATTTGGAAGGGCCTATGGACAGTCTGCCAGAAGTTCAAGAATGTCCAAGTACTATGTCTTTCTAGGCCAATTCGGTGCAATGAGGATCACCGGAATACCCGCCATCTCAATCCTGCGGAGAAGGAGTTTCAAAGACGGACAGGTGTAGATCACGTTTAACTGATTCAATGGAGACACCAGAGCATCCACTGCAAAGGCCTGAGGGTCTCTGGCTCTGGTCCAGTTTGATATTGAACCTGGATGCAAGGAGTCCAGTGACTGAGCACATTACAGGCCAGCCCCACAACTTTCTTCCCGGGAGGGTCTGGGTACAGTCTGCCAAGGCTCTGCTGAGGAGAAACCCAATCCAGATAGCTGAGGCACCACAGTGGCTAAGAGCATCATCAGGGAAACCTGCTAGAAGAATATTGCAGAAAAATCTCAGTGAAAACAATTGTGCAAAATTGTGTAAAGAAGAATACTTCTCAGAGTTTTCACCTAAGTACAGTACCAAAAAATGTAGATAGGCTGAGAGTGGAGGGGTTTTTCAGGGCTGTCCTGCAGGTTAAATTGATTTACTAGTGTCCAATCACATTAAAGTAACACAGCGGTCTATGGATCCTATGAGGTACAGTCAAGAAAACTAAAGCATAATGGGAGTGGGAGGAGTTATACCTGAATGTCTAATGCCTTTTTTTTGTCTGCATGTGTCCTACTCCTCTTAAAAGGCAGCAGTGAAACCCACTTGCCTCTTATTTACATACGATCCCATGTCCTTTAATTTACGATAAAGTTTACGAGAAGTATCTTATTGCATATAACCACAATTCAGGAAACAAAAATAAGATTTAACTCTCTCGAGTTCTAGGTGAACTATTAATACAATAGAATTTTATTATAAAAGCACAAAGAATACAGCAAGAGAAATGAGGCATCTTGTAGGCTTTTTCTTATAGCCAAGAGGAACTGGGAACTCTCCTTCTGGAAAGATCTCAACACAAGAGTTTCAGAGAGAATTGAGAATCCAGTCCATCATTTAGGAACCTAAAATGAGCTTTGGTTGGGATTAGCCTTTTGTACTTTGGGGGTTCCATAAATTATGACTTTCGAGGAAATTGCCACTATGGGTGTCATGCCATTGCTGGTCTTCTGAAAATACTGGCTGCCTGGTCAGCTTTAATCCTCCGGTTTGACACTTTTAGAGTCCCTGACTTAGAACTAGTGT